AAAACTTGGGTGGGAATTCCGAAAGGATCGACGAGGTTGATCAATGTCTCGGCGAGGTCGAGAAAGAGTTGCGGGAGGATTTGGTGAAGTCTCTCGCGGAGGTACTGGAACAATGCCGCGACGGGGTGGATAAAGTGACGAGGTCACTTGGTGCCGAGATGGTCAAGCTCAAGGAAGAGCTGGTAGCGTGTCGCCTCGATACGATGGTTGACACACCGAGAAGGACATTTAAGGGAGTACATTGACGAGTATACCAACCTACTACTCGAAATTCTGTCGATGACGCGGGAAGAGGCCTTATTTGGATTTACCGATGCGTTAAGGTCGTGGGCTAAGGAGCGGATCATGGATAAGTGCCCGGAGACCGTGAACGAGGCGATGAAGTATGCTTTGCGATTGATCGAGTTTCAACGGAGGGAACCAAACAAAAGGGACGATGGGAGGAGAATGATCTCAGACAAAAATATGGGAAACGCACCGAGATTCACCCCACTACCACCCCAATCCAAAGGTGAACGCCAAGCACCTCGGGCTATGATGAGGGACTTTTCCAAACCCGGACGAAGGTACGAAGGTTGTTTTGTCTGTCAATCAAAAAGAATATTTTGTGAAGAATTATCCGAAGCGATCGAGCATTGCGGTGGTGACTGAAGATACTAACCCGGCGGAGGAATGGGTGGCATGCATGAAAACGGGGGATGATGGCGGTAAACATCGGGGACGGATGTACATGAGTGTCAAGATAGAGGGACATTCGTACTTGTGTCTACTCGACCCGGGGGCGGATGCGAATTACATGAGCAAGGAGATAGCTCGCGAGCTAGGTTTGCAATAGGAGCCGTTTGATGGCCGATTCAAATGAGTGAATAGTGCATGGACTCCATTGACGGGGGTGGCGAGGAATGTGCCGATTCAAGTTGGAGATTGGAGAGGTATGGTTAATTTTAATGTTGCTCCTATTGATGACTATTGCGTGTTCTTTGGCATGAGGTTCATCGAGCGAAGCAAATTAGCAATGATACCGCACGAGGACAAGTACACTATCATGGAAGGAAGTGTACCGTGTGATATAATTGTGTACCGAGAAAAGGAGTTGATGCCAAAACAACTCGAAAGAGAATTGAGTATCATGGAAGGAAGTGTACCGTGTGATATAATCGTGTACTGAGAAAAGAAGTTGATGCCAAAACAACTCGAAAGAGAATTGAGGAAAGGAGATCCGACGTTTGCGGCTATCATTAGTGATAAGGACCTCCCAGGCGATAAGGATAAAGAGGCCACAATGCCCCCTAAGGAGTTGGAAGGCGTCCTCAAGGAATACGAAGATGTGATGCCGGATGAATTTCCGAAGGGCTTACCTTCTCGACGAACGGTTAATCATGCCATCGACTTGGTAGAGGATGCAAAGCCGGTGTCGCGACCACTGTACCAAATGTCGCCCGATGAGTTGACCGAATTAAGGAAGCAACTGGGAGAACTATTGGAAGTAAGGTTCATTGTCCCATCGAAAAACCCCTTTGGTGCACCGGTGCTCTTCCAACGAAAGAAAGACGGGAGTCTCCGCATGTGCAATGACTATCGGGCGTTAAAGAAATTGACGGTGAGGAATAAGTACCCGGTGCCACTCATTGCCGACTTGTTCGACCAGTTGCAACTGGAAAATGTGTTATTGAAGCTTGACCTTCGGAAGGGTTACTATCAAGTCCGGATCCGGGAGGGAGATGAGCCGAAGACGGCAATCACCACGAGGTACGGTTTATACGAGTTTAAAGTTATGCCTTTCGGACTAACGAATGCCCCGGCGACGTTTTGCACGTTGATGCAAGAAGTGTTACAAGACTTCTTGGATGATTTTGTGGTGGTATACTTGGATGATATTGTCGTCTATAGTCGAAGTATGGCGGACCACGTTGGACACTTGCGAAGTTTGTTCCGAGCCCTACGAGAGAATCAACTATATGTCCGGAGGGACAAGTGCGGCTTTGGGATAGACGAGGTTGGATTCTTGGGGCATATTGTGGGAAATGGAAAGATTTGGATGGAGCCGGGGAAGATCAAGGTGATCGTGGAATGGGAGGCGCCTAAATCCCCTACGGAGGTATGATCGTTTCTTGGTTTAACTAACTACTATAGGCGGTTTGTGAAGGGCTATTCGGCAAGAGCGGTATCCTTGACTAACTTGTTGCGGAAAAAATTAAAGTGGGAGTGGACGCCGGAGTGCCAAGCAGCCTTTGACACTTTAAAGGAGGCAATGACGACAAAACCGGTACTTGCACTTCCCGAATTCATCAAACCATTTGAGGTGATGACGGATGCCTCGGACTTCGCTGTTGGAGGAGTGCTTATGCAAGACGGACACCCGGTGGCTTACGAGAGCCACAAATTGTTGGACGTGGAGAAACGGTGGGCGATGTACGAGAAAGAGATGCCCGCGGTCGTACATTGCTTACAAGTATGGGAACACTACCTCAAGGCAGGCGTGCCTTTTAATATTGTGACGGATAATTGGGAGGTAAGCTACTTCCAATCTCAAAAGAAGTTAACGGATAAACAAGCAAGATGGCTTGACTTTCTTGCAGAATTCAAGTTCGAGATCGAATACCGACCCAGGAAAACTAACGTGGTGGCGGACGCTTTGAGCCGGAATGTGGCAGCCATCCATTCGGTGGAAGGCGACATTGTAGATCGGATTTTGGAAGGGCTGGTGCACGACGAATTTGCTCATGCCGTGTTTGAATTGGTGGATGGGGGAAAGACAATGAAATACTCGTTGGAGGATGGGCTGGTGGTGACAAAAGGATATTGGATGTATGTGCCAGATGCGGGGAGCCTTAGACGAAACATCCTACGAGAATGTCACGATGCAAAGTACGCGGGACACCCGGGCAAGCAACGAACCCTAGCATTATTGCGAGAGCAATATTATTGGCCGAGGATGAAAGAGGACGTGCAAGAGTACTTCCAAATGTGTCTTATGTGCCAACAAGACAAAGTCGAGAACCAACCACCGGCGGGGTTGCTCCAACCCTTGCCAATTCCGGAACGAATGTGGGAAAGTGTGTCCATGGACTACATCATCGGGTTGCCAAAGTCCAATGGATGCACAAGCATTTTGGTGGTAGTCGATCAGCTCTCAAAGTATGCCGAGTTCATCCCAGCGCAAAGAAGTGTACGGCGGAGGTGACGGTAAAACTCTTCACGGAACACGTCACTAAATATTGGGGGCTACTGACAAGTATCGTTAGTGATCGGGACTCAAGATTCACCGGGAGATTTTAGACGGAGTTGTTCCGCTTGTTGGGATCAGAGTTGAAAATTTCTACTACCATACACCCACAAACGGAGCGAGTTAATCAAGTCTTGGAGGTGTACTTACGGCACTACGTAACGGTAAACCAACTAGATTGGGCTAAACTACTCGATGTGGTACAATTTTATTTTAATTTGCAGAAAAATGAGAGTACCGGGAAGAGCCCGTTTGAGATCGTGCTTGGTTTTCAACCAATGACTCCGAAGGACTTGGTGGGAGCATATAAAGGACCAAGCCTACCGGCATTCCACTTTGCCAAGGGTTGGCAAGATCGGGCAGAGGCGGCACGGCTATATTTGGAGAAGTCTCAAAGGCGGATGAAAAAATGGGCGGACCGGAAGCGAGTGTTCCGAGAATTCAAGGAATGAGACTTACTATTGGTGAAACTCTACGTGTACGACGCATGCACAAAGGGTTGATGAGGCGTTACGAAGGCCCGTTCACAATCATGAAGAAAGTAAACGAGGAGGCATACAAGGTGGAGCTACCCGAGGGTTGATCCCAACTTCACCCGGTATTCCACGTTAGCATTCTCAAGCCTTACTACATGGATGACCAAGACCCGAGTCGGAACGTATCCACGAGAGCACCACCCGGGATGCGGACGGCATACTACAAAGTGGCCGATGAGATATTGGCGGATCGATTAGTACGACATAAAAATGGTCCATTTTTTACGGAATACTTGGTGAGATGGCGAGGATTACCCGAGACCGAGACGAGTTGGGAGCCGGCGGAAAAACTTTGGCAATTCGAGGACTTAGTGCATGAGTTTGAGGCATTGGGGACAATGCCTTCATCAAGTGGGAGAGAATGTCCCGGACCGAGTCCGTGACCGAGAAAAGAAGCCAAAACCCGGAGGCTCACTTAGAAGAATCTGGAACCTTGTGGAATATTGTAGATAAAACGAGAATTGTCCATTAATGAGATAGTTGAGGGTTGATTGTTGGTTGATGGTAGATGGTAGATGATATTAATGCGGTAGTTGGGAGATAGTGGCTAATCTTAGCCATCGGATCGATTCGATCTTGACCGTCCATTTCACAATGGACTTGTATAAATAGGTGCTTGTACCTCATTTGTAAATCACCAAGTTAAGAGCAATAACAAGTCTTTCACTCACTACTTCCTGTCTCTACGATTTTTGCGAGTTCTTGAGTGTTCTTGAAGGAGTTCTAGAAAAAGTTGTACTAGCAACCTCTAAGTGTCCAGAAATTGCTAGGCTACACGGAAGGTGTTCGAGGAACAACCAGACAGTCCATCACACAACAAAGACAACTATAGTTTCTTGTTTAGTTATATATAATGTTGTAGACACTAAAAATATATGTCTAAAATCAATTAGATATCATATATTTTGGAAGAAAATAAAATTCCAATAATATAAATATATGATATTTAATTATGCACATATGTTAATTTCTGTACAATAAATATCAACCATTAATGCAAAAATATGCTTAAAATGGAAGATATCGTACAAATATTACGCGTATAAATAGAGCCATAATAAATTTGGCAGCAAAATAAATTAATCTTGTCAATAAATGAAGTATATAAATTAATATCTTCCAAAAAAGACAATGATATGAAGATTTTGGCGAGAAATGAAGGTACACAATCAAATACGTCAAAAATGGAAAGCAGCATCTGATGGAAAATGAGATATTATAAAATCTTTCCATACACGTGGCACCATCTGAAAAGGAAGCCAAGGCCACCCTCCCCTATAAATAGGAGCCTTGACCAATTCATTAGACACCGAATGTAACACCCCCAGTTGGCTCATACTGGAAATGCTACCGCCACACTGCATCATGAGGTCGTCACCTCCTACTTCGGGCCCCACAACACAGTGTTAAGGCTAAAATTAATTATATAAGCATTTTATTATTCCCAAAAAAACAAGTTTATAAATATTTACAAAAACATACTCCCAAAACGGGAGGTTTTTCTAGTTAGAATTTACATATAATACATCAGATGCAGTTCACTCATTCAGCCCGTCTTTCTATCTCCCGAGACGTCCCCTGTCCCGGAGGTGCCATGCGTACCTGAATCAAATATTTTTCTTAAAAGCAGTCTAGAATTAAATCCATTTTAAGAACTAACATAAAATATGCCATGTCATTCTCGAAAATAGAGTTTAATTTCCGTCATTTGCAAAATAAATGCCATGCCATGCCCATACTGAAATAATGTAACAATAATGTCAAAATCGACAACTCATGCACATATACCCATATACATATATCAAAGTGAGCAGCCGGAATAACCTCGGCTCCATAATAACAGCTCACTAGACTATCATCAATAAATAGCCGGAAAATCCTCGGCTCAAGGAAGGACCTGGTAAACCCATAATAATATAACGGTCACCCGGTCACTCCCATATACCCACCATACGACTCCCGCAATCAATACATGGATAGTCGAACGTTGTCGCCATTAACCACAAGACACCCCATAGTCTGTGATAGCGAAGATAGGACCCTCCTGCCTAGCCCTACCCCGTGTAACGTAGTAGAATCCGTGCAACCTGGAATCACCCGAAGGAAACCCGGAAACTCTACTCCTCCTCGCACGCCCTAACGGGATCGCGTTTGGAGTTTGGCATCTGATCCTAAACTACCGGTAGACCTCACTAGTAGCTACTCCAATGAGTGGAACAACACCGAACCCGAATGATTAGACCAAATACGTCTCAACTGCAATGGGTCTAATCCCTGAATGACCGTGCGACTAAGTCACCCAGTTGTCCGACTACTATCGTCCACTATCGCCAAAGTGTTACGGTACATCGGGGTCGAATATCCTAACCCCAGATGATGCCCTCGCCTAGCACTACCGCACACGGCGACTAAACGATAGATCCATAAAACATATCCGATAAATCGTGCAATGTGTGCAGCATGTCAATAAGTGAATTTAATGAAAAGGGCTGGTGAGACGGCCCACCTATCCTCCTTTTTATAAATTCACCAACACGATCAAATACGTATATCAAATATCGTAAAACGAAGTTTCACACATGCATATACACACACATATATACATATATAGATGCACTGACCAAATGATTCCACATAATATCATATCAATATCAGAATCAGAATCACATGCAACATAAATACCTAATTTCTTAAAATTAGATTTAATTCCCTACTGCTTACCTCCTACCGATACTTTCTGGATTTTATAACTTCACCCAAATCTCCTCCAACGTACACCTGTCCCATTATTTACTCAAATCAGATGAGCTTTATGCTTATTCTCAGGAGCTACCTGCTTATTCAAAAGCTAATTTCTATAATTAACTCGTCGGGCTCCAAACTTTTATATTTAGTAGAATATGATATTCTAGCTATAAAATCCTTCTACCTCATAATATTTATATTGCCCGATTATTAAATAAAAATACGCAAAGGTATGAACAAGCAGGCATGTGCGATATACTGCCGTTTTTTATTCGACTTGGATTGGTACGAAATTCTCAAAATATAATGTCGGCGCTACGAATAGGCTATTAGCTAAAGAAATTCATCGATTAAATAGCTAAATAGCCAATTTTGAATTTTTGAAGAATTTCTAATTTAATACTCCAATATCAAAATTCGTATTAAAATTTATAATCGGACTCTACGAATAGCAAGGAATACCATACCCAAGTCGGAATTGGAATCGGACGGCTAAATCTTTTTCTTTCTTTTTTTTTTCTTTCTTTCTCCTTCTTCTTCCTCCCTTCCTTCTCCTCCTTTGGTTCGTTGCTGCTGCTGCGTTGGATTCTTTCTTTCTTTCTTTCTTTTCATATTATATATATATATATATTATATTATTATTATTATTAAACGTAATATATTATTATTATTATTAAACATTATATATTATTATTGTTATTAACGATGATGATAAGGTTCTTATCATCATCTACTATATTATTATTATATATATATATTATATTATATATTATATATTATATTTATATTTATATTTATTTTTAATTTTATCGATATTTATCCATTTAACAGTCTATTTAATTATAACTAATATACAAAATTGGAATATAATTTATCCCAAAATATTAGTTTCTTGATTCCATTACTATTGTCAAATATTTATTTGCTATAATAATATTATTTTATACATTCCGAAATCGGGGCATTACAATCCACTCCCCCTTAAAAAGATTTCGTCCCCGAAATCTAAACTCAAACACATAACAAGGCAACTTAATTAAACAATTGTGGGTATGCTTTGAACATTTCTTGTTCTACTTCCCACGTGGCCTCTTCCGCTCCATGTCTGGACCACATTACTTTCACCATACGAATATCTCGATTCCTCATGGTTCGGACCTTTGTGTCCATGATCCACAGAGGCTTTTCTTCATACGAAAGATCTTCATTCAGCTCTATCTCATCTGGAGATAAAATATGAGAAGGATCTGCAACATACCTACGAAGCTGAGATATATGAAACACATTATGGATACGCTCCATAGAATTTGGAAGTGCCAACCGATAGGCCCAATCACCAACTCGATCGACAATTTCATAAGGTCCAACATAACGCGGACTCAATTTTCCTTTAATCCCAAACCTTCTAATACCTTTCATTGGGGATACTTTCAATAAGACAAAATCTCCACTTTGAAATTGACCCTCACGTCGGGCTCTATCGGCATAACTCTTTTGACGATCTTGAGCTGCCTTCATCTTTTCTCTGATAATTCGAATCTTATTTTTCGATTCCTCAATCATTTCCGGACCCAGTATCAGTCGATCACTCATATCGTCCCAACTCAAAGGAGTTCTGCATTTTCGACCATAAAGAGCTTCAAAAGGAGCCATTCCGATACTTGCTTGATGGCTATTATTATATGAAAATTCCACTAAATCCAAGTGGTCTTCCCAACTCCCTTGAAATTCCATAGCACAAGCTCTTAGCATATCTTCCAGAATACGGATAGTTCTTTCTGACTGACCATCAGTCATAGGATGGAATGCAGTACTCATATGCAACTGAGTACCAAAGGCTTCCTGCAATTTTTGCCAAAATCGAGATTGAAAACGTGGATCACGATCTGATATGATCACCTCAGGAATACCGTGTCGTTTAACCACATAATGAACATATAATTTGGCCAATTTCTGCATACTCCAAGCCATACGTACTGGAATGAACACTGCTGACTTGGTCAATCTGTCTATAATTACCCAAATTGCATCTGTTCCCGACTTTGACCTTGGAAGTCCTGTTACAAAATCCATTGCGATAGAATCCCATTTCCAGAGTGGAACTTCTAAAGTTTGTAGCAACCCCATTGGTCTATGATGTTCTGCTTTTACCTTTTGACAATTTAAACATCGTGCAACAAATTTGGCTACATCCTTCTTCATGCCCTTCCACCAAAAATGTTGACGTAGGTCATGATACATTTTATTTCCCCCCGGATGCACTGAGTATGGTGTATTATGAGCCTCACTCATAATCTGCTCTTTCAAATCATTTCGATCCTTTGGGATACACCACCTCCCGTGAAATCGAAGACTCCCATCTGGAGCAATATTAAAATTTTGAGTCTGACCGTACTGAACTTTCACTGCAAGCTCAACCATTTTATTATCTTCCATTTGAGCCGCTCTAATGCGATCATAAATTTCAGGCTCAACTTGTATCATTTGCAAATATCCCCGAGTCATACCCCGTCCAAGTACCTCAATTTCCATCCGCGCTAAATCTTGGCACAGTTCATCAGCAACCGACATGAAGCCCAAGTTATGCCTTGGTTTTCGACTTAAGGCATCGGCTACAACATTTGCTTTGCCTTCATGATACACAATTTCAAGATCATAATCCTTCACCAATTCTAACCATCTTCTTTGTCTTAAATTCAATTCTTTTTGGGTGAAGATATATTTCAAACTTTGATGGTCAGTAAATATTCTGCAATGGGCTCCATAAAGATAGTGTCTCCAAATCTTCAAAGCAAACACCACTGCTGCCATTTCCAAGTCGTGTGTCGGATAATTCTCTTCGTGAGGTTTTAGTTGTCGTGATGCATAAGCAATAACTCTTTGATTCTGCATTAAGACACATCCCAATCCCTGCTTCGAAGCATCACTATACACTTCAAACTCCTCACATTCCACTGGTAAAGCCAAAATTGGCGCTGAAGTTAATCGATGTTTCAATTCTAAAAAGGATGACTCACACTCGTGATCCCAGTTAATCTTTGCATCCTTTTTCAGCAAATTAGTTAATGGTTTTGCAATCTTCGAAAAATCAAGAACGAATCGCCGATAATATCCTGCCAAACCCAAAAAGCTTCTTACTTCTGATTGATTGGTAGGTCTTGGCCAATCCAAGATTGCCGCCACTTTAGAAGGATCTACTGAGATACCCTTTCCAGAAACAACATGCCCCAAGAAAGCAACCTCTTTCAACCAAAACTCACATTTGGATAACTTGGCATATAACTTTCTTGCACGCAATATGTTTAATATTACATGCAAATGTTGTGCATGCGTCTTTTTATCTGGGGAATAGACCAAGATATCGTCAATAAATACACCACAAACTGATCGAGGTATGGTTGAAAAATTCTATTCATCAACTCCATAAACGCAGCCGGGGCGTTAGTCAACCCAAAGGACATAACCGTGAATTCATAATGCCCGTATCTAGTCCGAAAAGCTGTCTTCGGAATGTCATGCTCTGCAATCCTTAGCTGATGATATCCAGATCTCAAGTCAATCTTTGAGAATATAGTTGCACCTCTCAGTTGATCAAATAGATCATCAATCCTCGGAAGAGGATATTTGTTCTTCACCGTGACTTTGTTCAGTCCACGGTAGTCAATACATAACCTCAAACTTCCATCCTTCTTTTTCACAAATAAAACTGGAGCTCCCCAAGGCGATGTACTAGGCCGAATGTAACCCTTATCTAGCAATTCCTGTAGTTGCAATTTAAGTTCAGCTAGTTCTAAAGGTGCCATCCGGTATGGAGCCCTTGATACTGGCTCAGCACCCGGCACAATATCAATAGTAAAATCCACCTCACGAGCTGGTGGCATACCCGGAATGTCATCAGGAAATACATCAGGAAAATTTCGGACTACAGGAATATCTTGCAATCGCTGCTCCCCTTGCGTCAAATCTCTTACCTCACACAGATATACTGGAAACCCCTTACGAATAAATGATTGAAATGATAGGGATGAAATTACCTTCATAGAAGGTTGTCTGGCAGATCCTGCATAATTCACCTGTTCGCCCATCGCTCCAACCAGCGAAATTGATCTTTTTCGACAATCAAATTGAGCTTGATATGCCACTAACCAATCCATCCCCAATATTACATCGAACTCGGATAGCTTGATGCCCAACAAGTTAGTAACAAAATCAACCCCTTCAATACTAACCGGAATCTGCATATAAAGCTCTCGGCATTCCAGCACTTCTCCTGATGGAAGTAAAACTTCCACTACCACTTCTACTGATGAATTCAGACCCAATCGTCTAACTAGACGCTTAGATATGAACGAGAACGTTGCACCCGAATCGAATAACACAAGAGCAGGAAAACCGCAAACCAGAAATCTACCCGTTAAAACCTCACCTGGATGATAATCAGCTTCTGCTTGGGTAAGAACATTTATTCGTCCACGCTGGCCAGGTCCTCTGCCTGGCTGCCTAGATGACGAACGTGACTGACTTCGTCCCCCTCGCCAAGATGATCCTAATCCTCTCCCTTGTGACTGCGAAGACGGCGGCTGCCATGGCCTAAACCTCAGTTCTGGAAACTCCCTTGCAGTTACCACACTTGGACATAACCTGGCAATGTGACCACTACCACCACATTTAAAACATGTCAATGGAACTTTATCACAACGAGTACCTGGGTGGCTTGTTCCACAACGCCGACAAACAGCCCCCGATTGCTGAGACCTCTCCTGACTCGGTTCATTAATCGAAATCCCCTTATACGATGGCCCAGACCTGAACATTTGCCACCATTTCTTTTTACCCTTGGGCTCATCCTCCACTTTAGCTTTTCCCTTATCTCGAACCTGATGTTGATAACCTATTTCCTTCTCACTCTCCTTTTGTCTGACTTCCTGCTTCTGATAAAATCGGGCAGCACGCTCGTAAGCCTCATACAATGAACTGATATCCAACACCGCTAAAGCTTCTTGAATTCTGTGTTGCAACCCGTCTACAAAATGGTCAATTCTGTCTCGCTCACAGGAAAAGTAGTCAGGAACATACATCTCCAACTCATTAAACTTCACAAAATAATCCTCAACTGACATCGAGCCCTGCTTTAAGTCCAGCAATTCTTGCTTCTTCGCTTTTCGAATATGCGACGGTATAAACCTAGCCTTTAACTTTGCTTTAAATTCATCCCAAGTCATATCCACTTGGTCTACACCTGCAGCTTCTTCACCTAACCACCACCGATTTGCTCGGCCTTCCAAGAAATAGGCTCCAATATTAACTCGTTGATCTGGCGGAACCTGAACAACACGAAATATCTTTTCCATCTTTTCAACCCAAAACTCAAGGACTCCTGGCTCCACTGAACCAGAATATGTTGGTGGGTTATGCCGCATCACAGCATCAATGAAACTCCTCTGTTGAGGCATCATCGCGGCCATAAACTGCCGAAAGAAATCCTGACTAGGTGCCTCTGTTGGTACATGCGCTGGCACAGGATACTGTGACTCATCAGACGAAGGATCAAACTCTGGGCCTTGAATAGCCCTACGTACACCACCACCTCGAGAATTCGACATACTGCCCCCAATTTTTCCTGATTCAATATCAATTCAGCACACAGCTAAACCAAGCATAACAATAAAAGATAGATCACATTAACATGAATGTACCCGCAAAACCCAAACCTCACCAAACCAATTCAATATCATTATTATTTTCAAAACCTTTTTAATTCAAAGAGCCAAAATCTATCAAACCTAGGCTCTGATACCAACTTGTAACACCCCCAGTTGGCTCATACTGGAAATGCTACCGCCACACTGCATCATGAGGTCGTCACCTCCTACTTCGGGCCCCACAACACAGTGTTAAGGCTAAAATTAATTATATAAGCATTTTATTATTCCCAAAAAAACAAGTTTATAAATATTTACAAAAACATACTCCCAAAACGGGAGGTTTTTCTAGTTAGAATTTACATATAATACATCAGATGCAGTTCACTCATTCAGCCCGTCTTTCTATCTCCCGAGACGTCCCCTGTCCCGGAGGTGCCATGCGTACCTGAATCAAATATTTTTCTTAAAAGCAGTCTAGAATTAAATCCATTTTAAGAACTAACATAAAATATGCCATGTCATTCTCGAAAATAGAGTTTAATTTCCGTCATTTGCAAAATAAATGCCATGCCATGCCCATACTGAAATAATGTAACAATAATGTCAAAATCGACAACTCATGCACATATACCCATATACATATATCAAAGTGAGCAGCCGGAATAACCTCGGCTCCATAATAACAGCTCACTAGACTATCATCAATAAATAGCCGGAAAATCCTCGGCTCAAGGAAGGACCTGGTAAACCCATAATAATATAACGGTCACCCGGTCACTCCCATATACCCACCATACGACTCCCGCAATCAATACATGGATAGTCGAACGTTGTCGCCATTAACCACAAGACACCCCATAGTCTGTGATAGCGAAGATAGGACCCTCCTGCCTAGCCCTACCCCGTGTAACGTAGTAGAATCCGTGCAACCTGGAATCACCCGAAGGAAACCCGGAAACTCTACTCCTCCTCGCACGCCCTAACGGGATCGCGTTTGGAGTTTGGCATCTGATCCTAAACTACCGGTAGACCTCACTAGTAGCTACTCCAATGAGTGGAACAACACCGAACCCGAATGATTAGACCAAATACGTCTCAACTGCAATGGGTCTAATCCCTGAATGACCGTGCGACTAAGTCACCCAGTTGTCCGACTACTATCGTCCACTATCGCCAAAGTGTTACGGTACATCGGGGTCGAATATCCTAACCCCAGATGATGCCCTCGCCTAGCACTACCGCACACGGCGACTAAACGATAGATCCATAAAACATATCCGATAAATCGTGCAATGTGTGCAGCATGTCAATAAGTGAATTTAATGAAAAGGGCTGGTGAGACGGCCCACCTATCCTCCTTTTTATAAATTCACCAACACGATCAAATACGTATATCAAATATCGTAAAACGAAGTTTCACACATGCATATACACACACATATATACATATATAGATGCACTGACCAAATGATTCCACATAATATCATATCAATATCAGAATCAGAATCACATGCAACATAAATACCTAATTTCTTAAAATTAGATTTAATTCCCTACTGCTTACCTCCTACCGATACTTTCTGGATTTTATAACTTCACCCAAATCTCCTCCAACGTACACCTGTCCCATTATTTACTCAAATCAGATGAGCTTTATGCTTATTCTCAGGAGCTACCTGCTTATTCAAAAGCTAATTTCTATAATTAACTCGTCGGGCTCCAAACTTTTATATTTAGTAGAATATGATATTCTAGCTATAAAATCCTTCTACCTCATAATATTTATATTGCCCGATTATTAAATAAAAATACGCAAAGGTATGAACAAGCAGGCATGTGCGATATACTGCCGTTTTTTATTCGACTTGGATTGGTACGAAATTCTCAAAATATAATGTCGGCGCTACGAATAGGCTATTAGCTAAAGAAATTCATCGATTAAATAGCTAAATAGCCAATTTTGAATTTTTGAAGAATTTCTAATTTAATACTCCAATATCAAAATTCGTATTAAAATTTATAATCGGACTCTACGAATAGCAAGGAATACCATACCCAAGTCGGAATTGGAATCGGACGGCTAAATCTTTTTCTTTCTTTTTTTTTTCTTTCTTTCTCCTTCTTCTTCCTCCCTTCCTTCTCCTCCTTTGGTTCGTTGCTGCTGCTGCGTTGGATTCTTTCTTTCTTTCTTTCTTTTCATATTATATATATATATATATATTATATTATTATTATTATTAAACGTAATATATTATTATTATTATTAAACATTATATATTATTATTATATTATTATTGTTATTAACGATGATGATAAGGTTCTTATCATCATCTACTATATTATTATTATATATATATTATATTATATATTATATATTATATTTATATTTATATTTATTTTTAATTTTATCGATATTTATCCATTTAACAGTCTATTTAATTATAACTAATATACAAAATTGGAATATAATTTATCCCAAAATATTAGTTTCTTGATTCCATTACTATTGTCAAATATTTATTTGCTATAATAATATTATTTTATACATTCCGAAATCGGGGCATTACACCGAAGTTGCATCGAGGATTCAAGCAAAGGGTAAGTCTCTAGACTCTCTCTGTATTGTTCTTCATGTTCTTCGTGTCCTTCGAAGCGTTTTTCGTCGAAAGTCACTGATTTGGACAAATGATCCAATATTGGTTGACGAATCGATGAAGTTAACATTCTTCGTCGTATGTCCAAGCCGGAGGAAGGATCAAAGCTCTCAAAGCCGTTGAGGGATTCGTCAAAGCCAAGGGAAGGTCTTCAAAGTTCCTCTCAAAGCTTCAAGATGTTCATCGCGTTCTTCAACAAAGCATCAACTAGGCCCTCTTCGATCCAAAAGTCAAAGAGACACGCCGCCAAAAGCGTTATGTAGCACTAAATCCACCTCCTCAAAGATCAAAACTGCGGATCGTTAAAATAAGACACAAAATCCAAAGTCGATGATCAAATCACCTACATGGAGACCAAAGCCCTACGAACGGTAAAAAAGACAAATCAAAGATCAAAGCTGCGGATCGTCCAATGAAGACATCAAATCCAAAGTTGGGGAACAAACGCCCACACGGAGACCGAAGCTCTCCAAAAGGCTGAAAAGGCAAACTAAATATCAAAGTCGCGGATCGTCTAAAGAAGACAACAAATCCAAAGACGATGATCAAATCGCCAACGCGGAGACCAAAGTTCTCCAAAAGCGGCAAAGCCAAAACAAATGTCAAAGTCGCGGATCGTCCAAAGAAGACAACAAATCCAAAGACGATGATCAAATTGCTAACGCGGAGACCAAAGTCCTCCAAAAAGCGGCAAAGGAAAAACAAAGATCAAAGTCGTGGATCGTCTAAAGAAGACAATAAATCCAAAGACGATGATCAAATCGCTAACACGGAGACCAAATCTCCAAAAGGCGGCAAAGCCAAATCAAAGATCAAAGCCTCGGATCGTCTAAAAAGGACATCAAATCCAAAGCCGACGATCAAATCGCCCGCACGGAGACCAAAACCCTCCAAAAGCCGGCAAAGTCAAACTGAAGACCAAACCTCTTCAAAGGGGGCAACCAAAAGAGAATTCAAAGGGAGTTCAAGGCCGACGCACACTTACGCCAAGCCTTACACTGCAAGAATTGACGCCCTCAAAATGCCAACGGGCTATCAACCACCAAAGTTTCAACAATTTGACGGCAAAGGCAACCCAAAGCAATATATAGTGCACTTTGTCGAGACATGCAACGATGTTGGAACATATGGAGACCTCCTAGTCAAACAATTTGTGCGGTCACTAAACAACAACGCCTTCGACTGGTACATCGACTTAGAGGTTGGTTTCATCGACAATTGGGAACAAACTAAAGTACGAGTTCTTGAATAGGTTCTACAGCACAAAGAGAACCGTCAACATGACTGAACTCACCAACAGCCGCCAATGGAAAGATGAACCAGTAATTGACTACATCAACCGCTGGAGAAGTCTAAGCCTCAACTGCAAAGACCGTCTGTCCGAGGCTTCCGGCATAGAAATGTGCATTCAAGGGATGCAATGGGACTTGAAATACATCCTACTGAAGATTTCTCAGATGACGAGAAATACAACACTTCGAACAGTGGGGGCAATCATACTTACCCACCCTCCTAGAAACGAGGATAAACTTTCTACAATCTCCTGAAAACGAGGATAAACTTTCTACAATCTCCTGGAAACGAGGATAAACTTTCTTCAATCTCCTAGAAACGAGGATAAACTTTCTGCAATCTCTTGGAAACGAGGATAAACTTTCTGCAATCTCCTGGAAATGAGAATAAACTTTCTACAATCTCCTGGAAACGAGGATAAACTTTCTTCAATCTCCTGGAAACGAGGATAAACTTTCTTCAATCTCCTGGAAACGAGGATAAACTTTCTGCAATCTCCTGGAAACGAGGATAAACTTTCTTCAATCTCCTGGAAACGAGGATAAACTTTCTGCAATCTCCTGGAAACGAGGATAAACTTTCTTCAATCTCCTGGGAATGAGAATAAACTTTCTAACAAAACTCCTTAATACGAGAATAAATTGTTTAACAAAAACAAACAAATTCAATTTGTTTTGAACTACGTTATGACTTGATTCCTTAACCGGATACGTAGGCAACTTGGAATATAACTCCGAGTTCAGTCAATTATGCCAAAAAAAAGTCCAAAAAAAAATCGGGCTTAAAAAAATCAATTGGAAAAAAAAAAATCTCGTCCAAAAAAAAAAGCCCTTTGGAAAAAAATATTGGCTAAAAAAAAAATCAAAAAATGATAGCCATAAAAAAAAATCAGTCAAAAAGAAAAATTGACTTATGTTTCGAGACTCATTCACGCCTTAAACATTTTGTGTCGGCTTAAACAAGTCTCGAGGGGGCATTTTGTAGACACTAAAAATATATGTCTAAAATCAATTAGATATCATATATTTTGGAAGAAAATAAAATTCCAATAATATAAATATATGGTATTTAATTATGCACATATGTTAATTTCTGTACAATAAATATCAACCATTAATGCAAAAATATGCTTAAAATGGAAGATATCGTACAAATATTACGTTTATAAATAGAGCCATAATAAATTTGGCAGCAAAATAAATAAATCTTGTCAATAAAGGAAGTATATAAATTAATATCTTCCAAAAAAGACAATGATATGAAGATTTTGGCGAGAAATGAAGGTGCACAATCAAATCCGTCAAGAATGGAAAGCAGTATCTGATGGAAAAGGAAAGATTATAAAATCTTTCCATCCACGTGGCACCATCCGAAAAGGAAGCCAAGGCCACCCTCCTCTATAAATAGGAGCCTTGACCAATACATTAGAAACCGAAGTTGCATCGAGGATTCAAGCAAAGGGTAAGTCTCTAGACTCTCTCTGTATTGTTCTTCATGTTCTTCGTGTCCTTCGAAGTGTTCTTCGTCGAAAGTCACTGATTTGGACAAATGATCCAATATTGGTTGACGAATCGATGAAGTTAACGTTCTTCGTCGTATGTCCAAGCCGGAGGAAGGATCAAAGCTCTCAAAGCCGTTGAGGGATTCGTCAAAGCCAAGGGAAGGTCTTCAAAGTTCCTCTCAAAGCTTCAAGATGTTCATCGCGTTCTTCAACAAAGCATCAACTAGGCCCTCTTCGATCCAAAAGTCAAAGAGACACGCCGCCAAAAGCGTTATGGAGCACTAAATCCACCTCCTCAAAGATCAAAACTGCGGATCGTTAAAATAAGACACCAAATCCAAAGTCGATGATCAAATCACCTACATGGAGACCAAAGCCCTACGAACGGTAAAAAAGACAAATCAAATATCAAAGCTGCGGATCGTCCAATGAAGACATCAAATCCAAAGTTGGGGATCAAATCGCCCACACGGAGACCGAAGCTCTCCAAAAGGCGGAAAAGGCAAACTAAAGATCAAAGTCGCGGATCTAAAGAAGACAACAAATCCAAAGACGATGATCAAATCGCCAACGCGGAGACCAAAGTCCTCCAAAAGCGGCAAAGCCAAAACAAATGTCAAAGTCGCGGATCGTCCAAAGAAGACAACAAATCCAAAGACGATGATCAAATCGCCAACGCGGAGACCAAAGTCCTCCAAAAAGCGGCAAAGGAAAACCAAAGATCAAAGTCGTGGATCGTCTAAAGAAGTCAATAAATCCAAAGACGATGATCAAACGCCAATGCGGAGACCAAATCTCCAAAAGGCGGCAAAGCCAAATCAAAGATCAAAGCCTCGGATCGTCTAAAAAGGACATCAAATCCAAAGCCGACGATCAAATCGCCCGCACGGAGACCAAAACCCTCCAAAAGCCGGCAAAGTCAAACTGAAGACCAAACCTCTTCGAATCAAAGAAGCCATTGAAAATCAAGTTGGAAAATAAATCGACCCGGGAGGAGAATCAAAGGACCCATTTAGAGAATATGACCCGCTTTAAATTCAAATTAAATATAATTTGTACAAATTTTGTGTTTATTAAAAATAATACAATTTTTTGTCCACAAATGTAATAGCTATGTGTGATATTGAAATAGAAACATATAATGGATAAAAAAATATATATATATTTGCAACCATAATACATTTAAGTTTAGTAATAATAAAAGAAGTTTAATCAACAGGTTATGGCTAATAATATATTATCTTATGCTGCAACAAATGAATGATCAATACAAATTGGGTATTTGGCATAGAAACACAATAGAAAAGAACTTCAATGCAAGACATGAATGTCTTCTCGGACTACTGTTTATTATTATTATGATTATTAATTTTTTTTAATATTTTATGGTTTTTTTTGACCTTTTGTTAAATGATTGTTGGATATTATATTATATATGAAAATTTTATTGACTATACCTTATAAAAATAAAATTGTGAGAAAAAATACTACCAAATATAATGGATGAAAAAAAAAAATTCAAAATTGAGTTTTGATGAAATACTTTGGATAAATAATAATTTGGTTGTGGTTTGAAGTTAAATTGAATTGTGATGTTTATTTGAGATTTTATTTAAATAATATTTTGATATAATTTTTTATAAGATAAAATAATGCTCCCCCTCGATGCCGCCACATATGAAATTTTTGGACCACTCAAATTTTTTTATTTCTATATCTCTTTTCAATTAAAAAAAAATTTATTTACCTTTAAAACTCTCTATTTTTTTTATAAAACTAATTTATGATAATAATAAATAAATAAATATAAATTTTATTTACTTGTAATATAAAAATTTATTGTCTACCAAATGACATCCATATCTATATATTTTATTAAGATATAATATTAAAAATATTTAAAACCATTTTAAATTTCTTTTAATTATTAAATAACTAATCATCACTATCTAAATAATTAAACTATACTACCAAAATTTTCTGTTCAAACAAAATGCTTCATCTTTACCGAGACGAACGGGTAAAATTTATTAAAAATCATATAGAATTGAACAACGATAATTTTAAATTAAAATCACATCAAAAAAAACCCTAAAGATAGGCATAAACAGTGTCCACAACTTGGTATTTTGTTAATCAATTTTATTTTTTCACCATTAAAATTTTTAAATATTTGGATATTGATATATGTTGCCCCTAAATGAGAAAATTGCATTTCATTTCCTCCTACCATTAATTAGTATAATTAGGTAAATAACAATAGCTACAAAATTGTTGCATTATATCCATCAAAATTTTCAAAATCAAAAGAAAAAATATATATATTCTCTTCGTCTCATTGAAAAGTTACTATTTTCCATTTTTTCGTCCCAAAACAAAGTTATCATTTCTTAATTTAGTAATTGTACTACCTACTTAACATAATAAATACCCTTTTAACTTACAATATATTACACAAATGTCATTACTTTTATATTACATCATACTAACAGAGATATTTTTGTCTTTTTTATTACAATTCAATATAATACTAATATTTAAATATCTACGTGCAAAAAGCAAATACCACCATTCCAATGGGACGAAGGAAGTATATATGTTTTTTTTTTTCTTTTATTATTTTATCTTTGAAATTTCATTTATTTTCTTGTTTCTTTGTCACACGACATCTCCAACTGCACATAAAATATCTGGGATCAAATATTGGAGAAACAATAGTTATTAATATTATATGTTCCTTGTAATGTACGTAGATATTCCAATCAAATCCTACTTAGATAATAAGTAAATGCTCAACAATATACTATTAAATATTTAAACCTCAATGAAATTAAATGCTACAAATCCTACTACTTTATTTTTTATTTTTTATTTTTTATTTTTTATTTTTTATTTTTTATTTTTTTATTGTTATCCTACTACTTATTATTCAATCAATGAGTGTATTTAATTTTAAACCTACCTATCTAGCAACCTATCATACAGCATTTGGTGAAAACTATTCACATCACAGCCTTTACATTCAATGATTTATATGCTGCATTTATTTATTTTGCCTTCGTTTATATACAAATTTTTTAAATGTGTTCATTATTTGGGTTTGAATAAAAAGATTTTAACTTTAATTTTTTTTTAATACTTTATACGGAAAAATATATACTTCCTCCGTCCCATAACAAAGTATCTATTTTTTCATTTTAGTCCGTCCCATAACAAAGTATCTATTTCCTTTTTTAGTAACTGTACTATTTACCTAACATTACAAATACCCTTGTGATTTACAATATATTATACAAATGTCATTACTTTATATCACACATACTAATAAGGCTATTTTAGTCGTTTCTACTTTATTCCTACTATATCCCAATATAATATTAATATTTCTAAAACTACGTGCAAAAAGCAAATGGATATTTAGTTTCGGGACGGAGGGAGTATTTCTTAAAACATAGAATCTAAATAGCAATAAATCAAAAAGAAAAGTCAAGAAATACACAGTTGTGTTTGTTTGCGGGGTTTTGAATTGGAGTTTAAAGTTGAATAGTTATTTTACGTGATATAGATATATGTAAATGTGATACTTGAATAAAAAATATTAAATTTTGGTTTAATATGATAAAATAAAAAGTAAGTATTTGATTTGATTTTTTTTAGGAATTCTTTTTTTTTTTAAATAGTACTCCATCCGTCCGCCAAATTTATTCTTACTTTCTTTTTTAGTCCGTCCGTTAAATTTATCCCATTACTAATTTTGGCAAAGTCAATAAATTAACGTTTAATTATTATCCTCCATTCAACGCTAATTTACAACAAATACCACTAATTTTACTACATTCTCTTTCTTTATTTATTTAACTTCTAACTAATTTTTCAAAAATACCATCAACTACTTATCATTTTTTCAATAAAATATTTATTTTTTTTAAACTCCGTGCCGGACCTAAATGTGCTAATTTTAATGGACGGATGGAGTAAAATTCAATGCAAAATCTAGCAACACACCCATTAGTTTTGGAAAAATTTAAACTATTTGTTTGATTATCGTTTAAAATTGATTTGAAATGAAATATTTCCTAAGTCCGTCAAATTTACTCTTACTTTTCTTTTTAATCTGCTAAATTTATCCGATTACTAATTTTATCAAAGTCAACAAATCCACATTTACTATCTACTATTATCCTACATGCAACATTTATTTATAGGTGATTAGCTTTATTACATTATCTCCTTTAATATTTAACTGAATTTCCAACATTACATTCACTATATTTTTATTTTTATAATTTTTCAATAAAATATTAGTTTTTTAATTTTCGTACTGGATCCCAATGTTCTAATTTGTGGACCAATAAAGTATTAATTTAAATTGTTTATTTAAATCATATTTTGATACGACGGGGGTAAAAAAATAATAATGTATTTTTATTGAAAAATGTACCTGTTGTCGAAGAGTGTAGAAATGTATTTCAAATTATAAGCAAAGATGTAAATGAAGTCTTATTTATTTATTTAGCAGTTGTCTTCTTCCTTGTAAACCACCCACCATTTCCATTCGCAGTCCCATTCTCTTCTCTTTTGCTGACAGCATTATTAATTAATGGCGACCGCTGTAGAAAAACCCAACTTCGTGTTTCCTGATAAATTCCATAAGCCTTTGTTTGCAGCACAGATTTCTCTGAGGGTTTTGGCCTTCGTAGCTTGCCTTGCTGCATCTTCCATTACTCTCGCCAACAACCAAACCGCTACAGCTTTCGGCGTCGTCGCTCATGCCAGATATAACTATTCCCCCTCTTTCGAGTAAGATCATCGTCTTCATCGCCAATTCATGTTCCTGTTTCTAAATTATTCCTTGCAATTTCAAATTATGATATGATATATATAGGGATGGATAAATTTACCGAACATAATGAAATACGGACTTATCATACCGTATCGTGTCGAAAATACCGAAAATTTTGGTATGGTATGATATCGTACCGAAGTTTTCGGTACGGTATCGATATGAATTTTCGGAAAGTTCGGAATTTTGCTATGATACTGTACCGATATTATTTTTATTAAATAATTTAATTATTAATATTTTTTTTAAATTATAACAAAAAAAATATGTAAATTATTGAAAATTTATTTGTTTTTTCATAATATTTTTGTGGTGGAGAATAGTGATATTTATTAATTTTTTTAATTATTTTGAAATTTAAAATTATATTTTCGGTATAATCGGTATATACCTGTATCTACCGAAATCAAAATTTTCGGTATAAGCGGTATATACCGGTATCGCATCGAAATTGAAATTTTTGGTATAAACTGTATATACCGGTACCGTATCGAAAATTTCGGTATACCGAAATTCGGTATATTAAAACTTTCAGTACGGTACCGGTATGTATTTTAGTCATACCGAAAAGTTCGATACGGAATCGGTATCGACCGGTATTTTCGGTACGGTACGGTATGTCATCTTTAGATATGGTATGTCATCTCTAGATATATATATATATATTTGGGTAAATTATATAACAACCATTTGTTTTTTTTAGTAAAAATGTACAAAATACATGTGTTTTATTTATTGTGCAAAACCTCCTTGTGTTAATATAAAATTTACACGAAATACCCTCTTTGTGTCCAAAACTGAAATTTGATTCTAAATAAAAACTAATTTTTTTCTGAAATAATTTTTCTGAATAAAATAAATAAATAAATAATTGATTAATCCTATAGTTTTTAAAACAAATTGTTATCTTATTTTTATTTATTTCATTAAAAAAAAATATATTTTAAATATTTTACGTTTTTTATTTGTATAAAAATTATGTAATTTAGGTCTTTATTTAAAACCAAATACCAATTTTGGACAAAAGAGTTTTTCGCGCAAACTCAAATAAAACACGCGTGATTTTGTACATTTTTACTAAAAACACAATGGAGTATTATATAATTTACCAGATATATTTTTATGATTCTTTTTAGGTTCTTTGCATATGCGAATCTGGTGGTGTGCGTGTTCACGATTCTGTCGCTCGTTCTCGCGGTTAATATGGCGAAGAGAGTAGCGGTGGATCCTGCGCTGTATTTCTACATGTTCGTACATGATTTGGTATGTTTATGTAACATGTTATGGTTGCAAGTAATCAAAATGGGCTAGCGTTCTTCACCTTCTTTATTTTCCAACTCTTTCGGCTCCTCCAATAGGAGAGCGACAAGTGTCAATTATTATTATTTTTTTTTAAAATAAAATTTATCGATTGGTCAACTATTCCGACGACATCGAGACCATTCTTCCCCTTCTAACGACGGCAACAGTTGGTTTAAAACATTGTCGGAATTAGAGATGGCAATTTGGGCCGGTCCGACTTTTTGTGCCGGCCTGTCTGAATTACTATCAAACTATAGCTTGTTTTTTTATGTAATTTCTTTAATCATTGTCTATATAAAAGATATTTTGGCTGGGTTGGCCCGATTTTCATGGGTCTGGGCGCGATCTGGTTCATTCTTTTGTCGGGTTATATGCGGTTCGAAAATTTTCAAATATATTTTTGAAGGTTCTTTACTCCATTTGTGGATCAAATTTTTGGATTATATCTATTTTTGTCGGCTCTACCGATAATAGAAATGATCAATCTAGCATTGAGTGATTGGAATCATGATAACTAACTATAGTAAGGATTTTTTAGCAATTTATCCTTTATTAGAAAGTACTCTCTCCATCCCGGCTACGGTATTCCTGTACTGTAACACAAAATAATTTAGGAGGAGTATAATTAAAAAAAAAAAAAAAATTATAAATTTAATTTTTTTTTAAAGGAGATTAAATTGTTATAACTTTTCCAAAAAAAAAACAAAAATGACAAGTAAGATATACGAAAATGAGAAGGTGAATATGGTAAGTGAAAAAACAGAGGAACGCGAGCCATAAAAAAAACGTGTTTGTTTATCTAGAATATAAAAAGCGTGTTTTCTGTAAAAGCGTGTTAATTAATTAATCGAAGTCGTGAATTAATAGAATCATGTCGTGCACTGCAGATGATGACGGTGGTGCTGATGGCGGCGTGCGCGGCGGTGACGGCAGTGGGATACATCGGCAAGTACGGCAACAGCCACGCAGGGTGGATGCCTATCTGTGCCTACTTGGAGAAGTTCTGCCAGCGAGCTACGGCGGCGTCTGTGCTCGCCTATTTTGGGTTTCTCTTCTACCTTATCTTGGCTCTTGTTTCTGCTCATCGCTCTCGCCATATCACCCTCTGATCTGATCACATGCTTTCTTTCCTTATTACATGTCAAAAAAAAAAGCTTATAATTTATATGTAGTTTGAAAAGTTTGCACATTTGTTCCTCGTAATTTAAGAGTTGTATGTTATTATTGTCTTCTCGTTACAAAAAACATTGCACAAAATCCCATTTTTTTGGGATTTAGTGGAATGTTTTAAAACATAAGTACAAGTCTATTGTAAATTATAAACAAATTATGTCGACTCTAAGGGTCTTATTTACTTTTCGCGTATTAATCTTTGAATATTAATTATTATATAAAAACGTAATACAAATTAAGGGAAAATAACAAAAATATCTTATAATACTATTATAATGATATTTGTACAAAAAAATTATATAAACATAAAAATATTTTTAATATTAATATAATAACACAAAAATAAATGAAATCCTTAAAATCAGACGAAGAGCAGCATCCTTTAAAATACAAGTGAACTTCCTAATAGCTTCGAAATCATGAAGAAATCTTTTCCAAAGTACAATTTTGTCATATCACATTCTTACTATATTTGACGAGGACAGGACCACTTGCACATGCATTATAGGCATGGGATGGTCGGTCCCCTTCTACCCAGCCCTTTCTAGTCCCCTCTAATATTGTGTATATATATACAATATATATACATAAGGTGCGTTTAAGGTGTGTTTATTTTGAAATATCGTATTATAAAAGTTGGATAATTTCAATGAATTATATAATCAATAGATTAATTAATATAATATTTATTTTGCTTGATTAAATATAGATAAAATTATATTATGTTTATTTTGTTTGATTATTGGTATGATTATTATTTCTTATAAAAAAATACTTTTAATAATATTATTATAAATTATTGTAATATAATCCTATAAATTAGTATAATTGTAATGGACTTTTAATTATATCTCTGGACATTAAAGTAAACATGAAATTAGATCGGATTAAATAATATAATCCACTGTTGATATATTGTATATATTTATATATATATCCTACCTAATATATCTCTTGTATATATATATAATATTGTACTATAATTGTGAATTAATGAAAATAGAGTTTATTCCATTACTCGTAATATGGTATCAGAGCTATGCTTTTTTCCGACCAAATCGAAACAACCCACGCATTCCAGATAGCATATTTCCGACCACTTCCGACCGTCACCGCCACCACCATCGTCTTCGCTGCCACGAGACCGGCCGGACTCCGGAACAGTTCGGCGAACGGCGGCGCGTGAGCCTCACACGCGCCTGACGAGTTTTTCGGCCGGACGCCTCACCGGCGCGTGGAGGCACGTGCGGCGGCCGTTGGCGGCGATCTTTGCACCATCATGTTCGGAATTTGATTTCCTCCGTGATGGTATCTTCACTTCTTCCGTTTGAGAAGTTTTTGTATCCGGTTGACTTTTCGTGTTTCGGGTTCGATTCGGTTTTCTTGTGTTTCTGTCGTTTCGGCTTTCGGCTTGAGGTTTGAGATATTGTCTTCTCTTGAATTTCTATAGAAAAGATGGATGTACATATTCCGATCAATGTTTTTCTGTCCGGAGATAATTACAGTTTGTGAGCTCAATCGATGAAAAGTTTTTTGATAGGTCGGAAATTGTAGCGAATTGTTACAGGAGATATAGTTGCTCCCATTGCTCCGGTTTCTATAGGAGAAGTTACGCCTACCGCCACAGTTGTTGAATCTTATATTGAAAAATTGGAGGATTGGGATAGTAAGAACCATCAAATTCTCACTTGGTTGCGCAATACTTCAACTCCGGCGATCCATGTTCAGCTTGCCCAATTTGACACTGCCAAGGCAGCGTGGGATTTCTTGGCAGTCCGCTTCCGTGCTACTGGTTTGGCACACTATTATCAGTTATGGAGCACTCTCCATGATCTAAAATAGGAACCAGGACAATCTATCGACGACTTCCTTGCCCAAGTGCAACCCCTTTGGCATCGGTTGGATCAAGCAGAGATCAGTCCTGATCATCTTCGCCTCGTTCAGGTCTTGATGGCTTTGCGTCCAGAGTATGAGGCAGTTCGTGCCTCTTTGTTACATCGGCATTCTCTTCCTACCTTGGATGCAGCTATTCAGGAGATTCTGTTTGAGGAAACTCATCTCCACCTAGTTAAGGCTCCTCAGCTTGATTCTGCTCTTGCGGTCACCGCCCGAACTCCTACTCATAGTCGTTCTCATCGCTGCAAAAGATGTCAGTCTTCTGATTATGACTTCGGTCATTGCCCAAAGGTGGAGTGTCACTACTGTCATCTTTTAGGCCATACCATACAGTATTGCCCCACTAGGCCGTCTCGCTCTGGCAGTAGTAACTATAAGCCTCGGCATTCTCGTGGACCTCAGTCTGGTACCTCCTTTGTCACAGCCTCTGCCACGCCCGCGCCTCCTACGATTCAGGACCTGGAAGCTCTTCTTAAATAGGTTCTATCTTCCAATACCGCCATGTCTACCACATCAGGTAACTCTCCTTGGTATTTTGATTCTGCTTGTAGTAATCATATGACCTCTGATATACACCTTATGACCTCCACATCCACCGCACCATCCTTACCTCCTATCCTTACTGCAAATGGTACCCATATGCGCATCACCCATACCGGACATACATCCACCTCATCCTTATCCCTCCCCGACATATAATTTATCCCTCAATTAACCTTAAATCTGATTTCCGTTGGTCAATTAGTTGATCAAGGTCTCACAGTGATTTTTTCTTCTACTGGTGTGCAGGTTTAGGACGCGCAAATCGGGCGGACTCTTGGGAAGGGCCGGAAGACGGGCCGCTTATTTGAACTTACGTCACTCCAGGTCCCTCGTCCCTCTATCTCGGCTGCCACCACCTCTACACCATCCTGCCTTCAGTGGCATCATCGTCTCAGTCATGCGTCCTCCAATAAAGTCAGGTCTTTGATTAGTCAAGGTAGTTTGGGTTCTGTCAAGTTTGAGTCTTTTCATTGTGTGGATTGTTCGTTGGGAAAACAACCTGCCTTGTCATTTCCTTATAGTACTTCCATTGCGGATACACCGTTTTCCTTAGTTCACTCAGATATTTGGGGACTTTCGCCCGCTGTGTCTATGAATGGTTCTCGTTATTTTGTGATTTTTATTGATGAGTATTCTCGCTTTACATGGATTTACTTTCTGCGGCATCGTTCTGAACTTCCATCTATTTATATGACCTTTGCTAAAATGATACATACCCAATTTTCCTGTATCATAAAAACTCTCCGCACAGATAATGCTCTTGAGTATACTGATTCATCATTTCTTCGTTTCTTATATGATCAAGGTACTGTTGTCCAATGCTCCTGCCCATACACCTCTCCACAAAATGGTCGCGCCGAACGTAAACACCGACATATCCTCGATACAGTCCGCACCCTTCTCTTATCTGCCTCTTGTCCGGATCGCTTTTGGGGGGAAGCCGCACTCACCGCTGTCCACACTATAAATTGTGTCCCTTCCTCTGTCTTGGGTAATGTCAGTCCTTTTGAAAGACTATTTAATCGTACCCCTGATTATAGTCTTCTCCGCCCTTTCGGTTGTGTCAGTTTTGTCCTCCTCCCTACTCATGAGCGCACTAAGTTAGAACCTCGCGCGTGTCTGTGTTGCTTCCTGGGATACGGGTTAGAGCATAAGGGTTATCGTTTTTGGGATCCCATTTCCAATAGGCTACGTATTTCTCGTCATGTCACATTTTGGGAGGATACCAAATTCTCTTCCTTGTCCCACTTTCGAGTCCCCTTTGATCGTTCGTCTCCGTTCTTTGCCTTGTCCTCTCCACCTCTATTCTCCTCCGGTGACACGGCTCCGTCTCCTGCTCCTGACGCTGTCCCGGTTGCGCCTCCTGAACCGACGCTGATCCCAGAGCCTACTCCTACTCTCGACTCTGATACATCACCATCACAGAGCCCGACACGATTTCGATCTCAGCCTCTGATCCTGGCTCTCGTCGTTCCACTCGGGTTAGTCACATTCCTACTCACTTACTTGATTATCACTGCTTCTCTGCCACCTTGTCCCATCATGAGCCCAGGTCCTTTCGTGAGGCGTATGCGGATCTGTTGTGGCGGAAGGCTATGTCTGAGGAGTTGCAGGCTTTGGAGAAAACCCATACGTAGGATATGGTTGATCTTCCCTTTGGCAAGAAACCTATTGGCTGCAAGTGGGTATTCAGAATCAAAACTCACTCTGATGGATCCATCGAGCGCTACAAGGCGCGTTTGGTAGCCAAAGGCTACACCCAGCAGTATGGTATCGACTATGAGGAGACATTTGCCCCGGTTGCTCGTCTCACCTCTGTCCGCTGTCTTATCGCCATCGCTGCCGCTCGTCGGTGCCCCCTGCATCAGCTTGATGTCAAGAATGCGTTCTTGCATGGTGATTTATCCGAGGACATCTACATGTCTCCTCCTCCTGGTTTTCCTACCTCTTCCAAGGTATGCAAACTTCGCCGTGCCCTATATGGTTTGAAATAGGCACCTCGAGCTTGGTTTTCGAAATTTAGCTCTGCTCTACTCCATCTTGGCTTTACTTCTAGCGATCATGATTCGGCTCTCTTCCTTCGACGTAGGTCAGCTGGAATTACTAGTTATTGCTTTATGTGGATGACATGATCATTACGGGAGATGATGCATCAGGTATCTCTGAGTTGCAGGCTCATCTACACCGCTACTTTGAGATGAAGAGTTTAGGGCCTCTTCGGTACTTCCTAGGACTTGAGATCTCCGACACCTCCGACGGATATTATCTCTCTCAAGCCAAGTATGCCTCCGACCTCTTATCTAGTGCCGGTCTCACTGACTCCAAGACTGCTCCTACACCTCTTGATTCTGATTGTCGTCTTACTCCGATGGACGGCATTCCCCTTGATGATCCTAATTTGTATCGTCAGCTGGTGGGAAGTCTGATCTACCTGACTATCACTCGACCGGATATTGCTTATGCCGTCCATATCGTCAGTCAGCTTATGTCAGCTCTTCGGACGACTCATCATTCTGTTGTTCTACGGATTCTCTGGTACGTCAAAGGTACTCTTCTTCATGGGCTTCATTATTCCGCTCGTTCTTCCTTAGTTTTGACCGGGTATTCTGACGCTGATTGGGCGGGAGATCCCTCTGATCGCCGCTCGACCACCAGGTTTTGCTTCTTCCTTGGCGACTCGCTTATTTCGTGGCGCAGCAAGAAACAGACGTTTGTCTCCCGGTCCAGCGCAGAGTCCGAATATAGAGCCCTTGCTGATACCGCTGCCGAGCTTCTATGGCTTCGCTGGCTCCTGGCTGATCTCGGAGTGCCTCAGCACTCTGCTACTATTATCCATTGCGACAGTCAGAGCGCCATGAAGATTTCGACGAATGATGTCTTCCACGAGCGTACGAAGCACATTGAGATCGAGTGTCACCTTGTACGTCATCACGTTGCTCATGGAAGCATCTCCTTGTCTCCCATTTCCTCTGCTGATCAGACGGCCGACGGATTCACCAAACCTCACCTTCCCGGCCGTTTTCAGTCATTTTTGAGCAAACTCAAGTTGGGTTCCACCGTTCCACCTTGAGTTTGAGGAGGATATTATATATTGTATATATTTATATATATACATATCCTACCTAATATATCTCTTGTATATATAATATTATACCCTAATTGTGAATTAATGAAAATAGAGTTTATTCCATTAATATTAACATCCACCATATCTCATAAAATAAACTGACCCATAGCTAGTGTACATATATATTCCTTTACGTGAGGAACGGGGAGGAGAGGGGGCTGAAGATCCCATGTCTTCATAATATATACAAATATTTATATATATCTCTCTATATGTATGACTTGCTTTCATTTCATTTCACGGTTGTGGTTTTAATTATTTTTTTTGGCTGTCTATATATCTGCGAAAGTGCCATTTCTTGGACAAGATAAGCTAAATACATAATCTGATCGCATTGAATTAAGTAAATTAATTCATGAGGAAAAATTGTTTAAAATAAAATACATAAAAAAAAAAAAAAAAAATTGTATACGTTGTGCACACAAAAGCTGTTTCTTAAAGAACATGGTTGAAATATTTCATTTTTTTTTTGGTGGAAATGGAAGATAGTATTGGAAATATATTTGATGAAGATAAAAATAAATTGAGTAGATTGTATAGAAAAATATAGACTGCTGCACAACAAATTTATTTTCTGATTTTTGGTTGACCTCTAATGAGCAAACGTGTGCAAATATTTATGGGATTATGTTATAAGGCCCTTCTAGATACTCCGAATCGGCCTTGTTGGCATGAAATTTTGTTTGGTGTATTGAAGATCTGCAAGAACATCCGACAATTTATTGGTGCCTGCGTGGCTTCTTGAGAGTCCATGTTGCCTACACAGTTGGTCTTGCCTACATATGAAAATTAGGAGATTTTCATATGCTAAATGTAGAGAGTGCTGAGAGCTTGGAGAATTCTTCTCAAGTGAAAAGCTTAAATCTTATTGTGCAATAGTTTTTGAGGATTACTTTCTTGTTGAGAGAGAGTTTGTTCATTTATTTTGAAGGATTTGTAAAGAGATTTGAACATGCATTGAAAAGAAGAAAACTGAGAAGATTTTGTTTATATTCTTGGGTGAAATACGTATCAAGCTCCGATATCATGTCGGATGTTGAATGACCGTCTCTCCTAAAAGCTTAAACTTTTAGGGAAACTTAGTCATTATTCATATATCCGCAAACGGGAATCCCAACAGTTGAGACTTTGCATATTTGCCTTTGCAGAAGAATGTGCACTTTTATTTTGTAGGAAAACCAATTTATTTAGGTTGTGTGTGATTGTTGATTGGTGGAGTTTGTATGAAGATTATTATACCTCGTTCTTGCCTAATACATAGTAAAATATCTCTAGATTGGTACTTCAAACATAAGCTAGTTCATGGCAAAACTTGGTAGACAAACACATGTGTGTTGTTTGATTCTTTTTATTCTACACAATTTATTAAGTGATATGTTCATTGTTCAAATAACAAAAAGATGACAATATCTTAACACAACAAACTTTAAGAATTTGTATTCTATTTAGCTAATATATCATTAGTGTTCTTAATTGGATCAATATGAGACCTTCCGACCGGTTCAACGTCAGCTCTTATGGACTACATAAATCACCAAATAAAGACAACTTGATCCCAAAGGAAAAGATAGTTTTGTTCATCGTCTACAATGAACAATTTAATGGCTAAAAGTTGCTGAATTAAGAAAATAGAAAACTAATCATCTCAAGGGATGTGATATTTGATGAGTCTATTGCATGCAATTGGAATAAGTCTATAATTACTCCAAATCAAGAAAAAATATATCTCGCTAAAATAATATGCCTCTTCAGTCGTACTTTAATATTTCCAAAGATAAAAAAAAAAGTGTTTGTCTTTAAATTATATGACACTCCAATATTTTGAAACAACAGATAAAAATTCCTCACAAATCTCGACCACAAAAAGAACACTCGGTAACCTTTCTCCCACAAACATTGTTTTGATAGAATTTACGAGGGACTTAAGCCTTTGCAAGCAATACTGTGGGTTCGATTTTAGATCACTGTAACACTTTTGCAAGGAACTATAAGGACAGGTCATAATTTTTTTACTAGTACATATTTGCACGGAATTGAAATCTCTCGCAAAGACGGTCTGCGACGGAATTTGGCCTGTTAGCACATAGTAACTAACAATACATAATATCAGTTGACATAGCACAGCACAGCATTGTTAATCTCATCACATATCATATATTACCACAGCATAACACAGACAACACATGCTAATAATATATACATATATATATATATATAACACATATTTCAACAACAACCATATGTTGTGTATATCATTACACTATTACAGTATGCCTCAATCAGCACCATAAATCAGTCCCATGATATATGATACAAACTCAATTGATAAATTATAAATAACTCCGCAAAGTAAACTACAGGAGAACAATGCTAATACACGGATAAATTATATCCCTCATAGCGTCGGCTGCTGTGGACATGAGAATTTGATTTGCATAACATTAACATGCAAGACAACCTATAACACAGAATCCTTAAGAAACACTAGATTTACCACATCAACTGCACTTAACCTTATAACCACTGCATATCAGGGCAAGATAACTTACTTGACAAAACAATACACAATTTATGATTGAATTTTCGTCCATTCCTTGTAAACCAGGGCCTCCATTTATAGCCTGATTTTGATCAATCGCGCCTTTATTATTGCAAAAAGAAAAACACAAAACGATAGTCAGTAAACGAGAGTATATGTAAATATGCAGAAAATCTAATATTGGCTTTAAGTTTCACTCGTCCTTGCTGTAATGGTCTAGTGTCTGCACACAATACTCATACGTGCACAGTAAAATTATTCCGTGTTCGGGCCGTTCCTGACTTTCAAAAGGCCCTTGGCAAAATAAAAATTAAGGCCCTTAAATATATATATATCTATATATAATTATTTTTACCTATAATAAAATATAAATTAAAACAAAATTAATTGCATAAAGCTCCTTTATATTTTAACAAACGCTATATGAAACCTCAGCCATACAAAAAAATATAGATGAAAAATCATCTTCTCATCACCAAAAAAATATAAAAATGAGTTTTGTGGAACGCTATATTGATAATTTTGCCTAATAATAATAATAATTTTCTCTAATATTTATTATCTTTTTAGTGCAAAAAAAAATAATTAAAACAAAAATAAAAAATCCCTAAATATATATAAATGATCTATTCCAATTTGTTTTACCTATAATAGAATATAAATTATTAAATAAAATAATTTTTTTAGAATTTTTAGATAAAATATCAATAATAGTATTAATATTAACAATCTTAAAACAAAAATTAAGGCCCGTAAATATGTATAAATAATATATTTATTTATTTATAATAAAATATAAATAATTAAATGAAATAAATTTTCTAATATTTGTACATGCAAAATATCAATAATATTAACTTTGTCTAATTTTTTTTAATGCATAAAAATATTTTTTTAAATTTTGAAGGTACTTTTATTGATAAAACTTAACTACCAAACTATGCTCTTATATTGATACATTAATGTTATAACATTTTTATATATAAATAATTTATATATAACATAAATAAATAATGAGTCTCGATTTAGATTGGATCCTGGGCGGTTGCCTCTTTCGCCCGGGCCAGGGACGGCCCTGTCCTTGTTGTTTTCCATTAGCACGAGTGAGTGCCAAATGCAAATACAAAACTATTAGAAACACAACAAGGAAGATACATAATGGTTTTCAAACAAAATCTACTTAACCAACTAAATTGATAAGAGGTGTCATTTGTGGAAACAAAATTATATTTTTCTCTATAAATATACATATATGAAGAGAGATTGAATAATTATTTTTGTTTTAATATTAGTATGGAAACATGTAAAATTTCCAAGCTTGGATCCAACACAGGTTCTGAATTGCTAACAGAGTAAAAGATTGATCAAAACAAATTTGAAGAAGGTATACTAGAGTTTAGAAATACCTTAAGAATCTGATCCATGACCTCTGGTTCTTCAAGACTGGAAGCATTCACTTGATGTTCTTCCCAACTGTTATCAGCCACATGAATTTGAAGGTTTTCGTTGCCCAGGTCTCGGTGTTCCTTGCATATTTCCAGTGCTGATTCCTCAACACATTTTCCACAATGACGCAACTCAATCTGTCTCAGGGTATTCATGCATCCAATCTCCAATGGGATTTCAAAATCCTGTACTCTCTCAAGAACAAGCCACTCAAGCTTAGGGAAGCAATCATCATCAGCTCTCCAGTACACCACATCACAATTAGTAATGCTCAGTCCTTTCAATCGACGGAATTCCCCTTCAATTGAGTCCCACCCACTCTGCACTCCAGAAAGGTTCAAACTAAGTTCTTCAAGGCTGGGCAATGAACCAATCTTTATCATATCCTCCAGAGACATTGAGCAAAATTTCAAATCCAACTTCTTAAGTGATTCTGGGAAGACTATATTTTGGCCCGAATATATGCACAATGATTCAATCTTTCTTAAATGACTAAGATCAGATGGCGATTCTGGTTCAGAAATCACAAGTTTCTTTACATTTGGTATTCTTTCAAAGATATCCTTTGCACACATGAATTTTTTTATGTTTGAAAGGGTCTGCAGATTTTTCAAGATTATAAAAGCATTCTCCTTTGAATGTGTAACTTCAGGACGTGGTAAAACAGCCTTTGAGACATCAAGATGCCTGAGTTGTGCCATCTCCCAAATTTGAGGTGGTAAGACTAGCGTGGTGGCCTTATATGAATCTTCCTGAATTCTTAAAGTTTGAAGATTCCAAAGTAGATTAAATGCAAAGGGAAGTTCAAAGTTTATGTCCGGGGCATATTCGATGGAAAGATACCGCAATCCACTTGGTTGCAAAGAATCATAAGAACCATCACTTATCGTCTTCACCAATTTTATCCTCGAAACATTATGCGAGTAAGCCTTCTCACATGCATCACAAAAAAACAGATGAACTGCTGATGCTGATGCAGAAGAATGAACCAATTTAAGGGCAACATTTGTTGGTTCATTATTTTTGCTTCTTTTACTACAAAGGAAGCATTCATTTCCATCAGGAGCATCCCACTTAAAGACTTCCAGGAAAATTGCGTCTTTCTTATTACAACGGGCGCATCTATATCTGCTACCTGAATTACTCCAGGGGTTTCCTTCTACATAGTCAGCCAACATATATTTACTTTTTTGTACTTTGACAGAGGCAAAACGGGCCGGTTTCACTCTTCTCCCACTACAGTCGAAGCATAAGTATCTTTTGCATAGGCGTGCAGCATCAATAAAAGGATTCCTGAGAATTTTTTTGTGCTGTGCTTTTGGAGAGTATATAAAACATTCCTTGGCAGATTCTTTTATGCAAAAGTCACGTAAAAGATCGTGAACACCACAGGCTTCTATTTCTCCTCCAATTGTCCTTCTACGAACAAAAATTAGATTTCTATCAACGAGAACTTTAACATACTCTTCACCAATTTCCTCTAAATGCTGATCATTTCCCAACTTTAGGTATCCTTCCACAACCCAGAAATTGATAAGATCGGAGACATCTATCCAACCATCTTCAGGATAAACCCTCATATACAAGAAACATGGCTTGACACTAATAGGCAAGCAATCATAACTTAAAGATATGGACTTCAGGCAATAATCATCATCTTTTAAATGACCCAAGGAATTCACATTTTGCGCAATCAATTCCCAAGACTCTTTTGACAAACTAGAATTTGCGAGCAAACCACCAATAACATTGATTAAAAGTGGAAGCCCCCGACAACTTTTTGCGATGCTCTTGCCTATCCCTTCCAATTCTACATATGGACAATTATCTTTGGCAAAGACTTTTTTACAAAGTAAATTCCAACTCTGGTCATCACTTAAAAAATCTATCAAATAAGAGTTGCCACTGCCACCAGCATAATCACCCACATTCAAGATCCTAGTAGTCAACAAGATCCAACTTCCATTGCCATTATTCGGAAGGGACATTCTTAATTCATCCCAGGCTTCTGTACTCCACAAATCATCCATGACAACCAGATATCTTCTACCGAACAATCTTTTGTGCAATCTTTCTCCTAGCTGAGCCATGCCTTCTCCATTTTTATCGTTTTCTTGCTCATTTAGAAGATTTTGAAGGATCCTTTTGACACTGTACTCTTGAGAGATTGTAACCCAAATGCATACATCAAAATGATTTTTTATCAATGGATGCTCAAAGATATTTTTTGCAAGTGTCGTCTTACCAATACCTCCAGTGCCAACAATTGGGAAGATTTTGAGATTTGAGCTGTCCCTAGTCAGCACACCCAAGATCTTATTCATGTGTTTGTCAAACCCTACCATAATACTCTCACCTGTAGAAGCAATAGCTCGTGAACTACCAACAGTCATGGAAATCATAGAATGTAGTAATCTACCTCCATCGTCATCCCCTTTCTTTATATCCTCCGGGATCTCCTCCTTCATGAATTCAATTTTTTCTATCAACTTCTGCATATCTTGACAGAATGTTGAGCATCCCACATCAGGTGCATCTTCTCGAGATTCCCATTGAAGCTCATTCACTACAAGAGATTCAATAGTATCTTCAGCTTCAAACGCAAACTTAGCCATTTTTCTCCACAAAGCTTCTACCCCCTCTCCTGTTTTATCACAATGAACTTCAACAAAGTTGAGCAAGAAATGAAAGCCTTCCTGCAAAGCTTTAATTACTTTTATGTCCAGAGAAGGACAATGATGCTCAGCACGGTAGTGGAGATTGTCAAGAACAAGTGTAAGGGAAACCAAGGATGCATAAGCAGCAACAGCCATCTCTCACAGAGCCCAGATCAGATTACTATATTTCAGACAATGGGCAAAAAGGAAAAAGGTTTGTAGAGATCAAGTAGTGTCATCATAACTGGGAATGATTGGTGTTTATGTAGAGACAAGAGTTCCTGATCAATAAAAGGGCAGACTGATTACTGAAACTGTTTAGCAACCACGAAAAGAACATTGTTCTAAAACGGCGGCATTCACCATAGGTAAAAAATATAAAGCAGAAAATGATAAAGATGAGTCTCAAAGTATTTAAAAAGAAATAGATGATAAGTGCCTCACTAACTGTGTTTGCAAGTATAATTTCAAATCTCTACAAGTCAGATTCCTTTGAAGTCACAGTTTTGCCTTTTTGCCTGATTCCAACTAATAAATAATGTTATATCTGTGTCAATGCTTTTGCTATTAATTTTAGTTATATAAGAGAAAATTACTATTAAAATTATATTTACTAAAAAAATCGACCCAAATGTAAAACTATAAAAAACAATGGATGGAGAAAGTATATATGATAACAATATCCCTTTCTCAATAGCTTATTAAACAACAAACTAAAAGCTAGTTCAATGACAACACAGTCAATAATGGTACTGAATATATGTTGTAGCAGTTAGACAAGTAAAATATATATACTTACAAAGATATATATATATCCCACAGTACAAGCCCAAAAAGGCTCTATTAGATGAGATATAAGATTCCATATATCAATATAAGTGCGTGCAACACTTGATTCAAATTTATTGACTGAAAAACAAACTCATCGTCAGTTCAAGCCTTGAAAGATTGATTGATCTTGTAATCTGTGATATGAGATCAAGTTTCTAACTATAGAACAACTCAACAACTGCTCCCACCATCTAGGACTTTAGCTCGTAGGTCCTAAGCATTCACTCAATTCACAAACAAGCATTCCAAAGACCAACACATCAGATAGCTACTCGCACATACATTAAAAACACAAATTCATTCAAAGGGCCAGTTTACTCCCATAAACAGTATCATTATATAAACAGTGAAAAGCATCTGCAATCGCAACAGGAGGGGAAAGTCTTTATACCAGTTGCGGCATCCTTACTCATTTCTTTGAATTAAACGATTACCGAATCTAAATCCGCCCTCTCCTTAGGAGTTTAACAGATCAAGCCGTTCATTTTGAGGTATTTAAAGTCGGATCGAGTTCGAGAGACCAGATAACACAGATTAGCCAAAGATCTCCTCCGCAACCGCTTCTTCCATGTTCCTTTCCTCCTCCTTTCTGAGTAGGAATTCTTTGCAACGGGGATTCAATTAGGCAGAGAAAGAAACAGAGCAAATAGCTAGTTGAGGATGGTCGGCCGTTGGATGGGTTGTATTGTATCCAGTTATTTTTTTACCGCCTCCCGCTAATTAACATTTGGGAATTTTAAAAAGAATGGCATGTTGTCAACAATGAATTCTAAACGGTAAAAATTTATTTATATTTAATCATATTACATCATTGTTTTTTAATTCAAATTTTTATTATTTGAATCTTAAACTAAAATCCAAGTTCCTATATTGTATCATTTGATATAAATAAATATTTGTGTAATATTTTAAATATAAAATTAATTTTTAATATAATATAAAAATAAAATAAAAATAAATAAAAAATTATTAGGTTGATGATAAAGTCACACTAAGCGAATCATGTATGACAGGTGACCTGAGCGGTCGAGGGTTTGAACTCATACCATCGGACCAACGGGACAAGTTTTTTCGTACTCTTTCCCCCACCCACCGCTCAGAGCATATACAATAGTTCCACAAAGATTGAAGATTGAAAGATAAGATTCTTTTATGTATTTTCTACACATAGTTAACACAATTGAAAATGAAAATGAAAATGTAAGCCAAGGTGGCAATGAAAAAGTGGAAGTGTTATTTTCCCTACATACGGAAAATGTGAAGTTAACTCTATCCGCTTTTTGATTGGTTGTTAGCCATATTCACCAAAGTCATATCCTTATATATTAATTAGCCAAGTTTTAAATTCATTTTTGGATGATTTTTTTGTGTATGTTTTGGGGATTGTTTTGGATAAAAATCTTGTTTTGTGAAATTGTTTGAAGTGATATTTTTTCACGTGAATTATAGAAAATGGTATAGATAATATAAAAATAATAAAGATGTGTAATATATTAATTTTTTAAAAAAAATATGTGTTATTTTTTGCAAAAAGAACACACCCTTTGTATTGATTGAGAAAGTGGGTTTGGCATGGAGAATAAAATTATAAATGAGTTATAGTAAAGAGTAGAATTGTAGAGAAAATGAATTCAATATAAATTGATTTTTTTTGTTGATAAAGTAAAAAATTTAGTTGAAAAATATATATAAAAAAAAAAGAAAATACAATGTATAAAGATAATATGATACTTTGCTAGTTGAAGAAAAATAAGTCTGATCGCTAAAAATGATAAATTGGATTAAAAAATATTATTGTATTTTTTAATTATATTTTTAGTTTGATATTTTTTTAATAATAATAATTTAGATATGATATATTCATAAGATTTGAATAATATAAAACTTAAACAATAGTAAGAAAAAAAATAGCAAATAAACACAAATTAAATTGTAAAAGTTAAATGTAAAAAATAAAATAAATAAATAAACAAACACAGACTTCATTCACTCAATTTTATTTCTCTTCATTTATCTGAACATATGTGAGAAATAATATATTTATTTTTTAATCCTGAATTCTCACTAACCAAGAAAAATTGAGATATTTTTTATTTATATATTTCAATTTCTTTGTACCAAACACCTTGTAGTGATTTGTCATTACTACAGAGCTAATGGATTTCATTGTTTTGAAATTGGAAACTTAACAATATATGATGTTTTGATTGGAGCTTGTTATTAAGTCCACAAAGAGATTGGTGCAAAAGAAGAAGAAATTGTTGTTATTGAAACATTCACGAAGAGCAACTTTGTGAAGATGTCCTTACGAGGAACTTCACCACAACAGTCGTTAATCGTCATTAGTTTGTTGTTTGTGATTTTCTTCTTGTTGTCTTGAGTGGAGTTTATGAAGGTGCAACTTGCTTACTTTTTGCTCGAATCATAGTGGATTAACTTGGTTGGTACCTTCAAACATAAACTTTTGAATTTACAATTTGGTGTTCGATTGCATTTACAATTTCAACGAAGTTTTACTCGTTATTATTCCATTGGTTGAATTGTTATTATTGGATAAGCTACTAAGCACATACAAACTCTAGTATTTTTTTTATACAATATTATTTTTTGCTCATATTTTGGGTATTTAACATTGATTTGGATATACTGGGACCAACAATTGGTATCAAAACTATATTTTCAATATATTACCAAAGAACGATCTATTTTTTGAGATAAAAAAAAAAGAAAACGGAAATTCAGTTTTGTGGCCTCTTTTATTGGATAGATCTAATTATATATATTGAAAAGTGAAAATTAAACTGTTTATCATTTCGATTTGTGATGAACCATAAGACGCTGTTGAATATGGTTGGATTCCTCCTGTCAAAACAATCCATGTTGGTAAAGCCTTCAAAAGTGTGGCTTCCAACAAAGTACATAGCTGAAGAAAAACAAATGTCCAATTCTAATTCAAAGACACTTAATGAGATTTATAATGGTGTGGATCATCACTATTCAAAATTATTTCTACGTGCACAATAGTCAAAGTTGCAGGGTTCAGACAACATTTGAGTGATGATATTCTAGATGGTGGAAAACTAATTTTATGGATAAGTACAAATGAGAGTGAAATAATCTTCAAATTCAAAAACTGGTTTGAGGATATTGTCAACTAAGTTCATATCCTATGATTGATCTATAATGAAAGAAAGCTTGTGGACAAAATAGAAAACTATCACATCAAAGTTTGCAACTAAAATTGTTACTCTTGAGAAGTTTGAGAAGATTAACACTATGTCACTTGATGCATTGATTGAAATTTTTCAAACTTATAAGCTAAACCACTTAAAAGATAAAATCAAACAAAGAAGTTGATCTTACTAAGAAGGGGTTGTTTGGTTCATAGATTTTTTTTATGGGATTGGAATTTCAAAGTAGAATTTATAATATGTGATAGATTTATTATATTTAGGATTTAAATCCTATCATATGTTTGGTTGGTAAAATTATTTGCAATTTATATTTCTCAAATTTTGTTTGTTTTTCATATTAGTGGAAGGATTTACATTTTTTATATTCTAAATAACATAGTTGCCCTCCAGATTTTATTTATTTTAGATAAATTAATCATCTAATTTATTATTAATATAAATTGAAAATGTATCAATAATTATATATGGATAGGTCCGGATAAACACAAGACCTGAGTTGGACCCGACCTATTCATTTGAAGTTGGGTCCAATTATTCGAGTACTGAGTCTGGGTCTGGGTCCGGGTCATGTCCGGGGTATTATAATCGGTACGAATAGAGTCTAGAGTCTAAGGGCGGACCCGGACTCAATTTATAATATTAATACTATATCAATTATACATACGAACAAATAATTTCTAATAATATAATTATATTAAAAATAATTTTTTATGAGTTTAATTTATTTATTATAATTTTTTTAATAAAATACATAAATTTTAATATATGTCGGGTCCGATCGTGTCCAATTTTAAATTAAAATTTAAGAATTGTAAAATAAACTTGAATTTGTCGGATCCACTGGGTATAGTTTCGTTCGGAATCGGTATAATCGAGTCCAATTTGGGTCTTGGATCTAACAATATATATTCGGGTCGGATCTCAGTTTCGATTGAACCCGACCCATTACCATTTCTATAATTTTATAATTCAAATAAAATTTATAATAAAAAATACTTTTAAACAATAAATTTAATAATTTTATTAAAAAAATATTGGACCATAAAAATAATATAAATCTAATTAAATATATAATTAAAATAATAATTAATCCTTATTTAATTTTATTTTATAAATATACTTATAATATATAATATTATTTCTTTTTACAAAAGAATATAAAGTAAAAATTAAAATCCATGAAGATGAGATTTAAATGTAACAAGGTACCATCACTAAAAAAAATCTCTTGGATTTTGGATCCTTTTTATAAATATCTAACATTTTGAATTTCATTTTATTTTTAACTAAACATGAATTTATTGAAATTTTAAAATTCAAATCCGATGTAATCCTATCAAATTTTTAAATGAAACAACCCCTAAGGATATTGATGTTGATGAAGTGGATGAGGATAAAGTTTCATTTATCTGAGAATGTGTTTTTAAATATTTTAGGAAAGAAAACTAAGACACTAAAGTAGAAAAGTGAACAGACTAGTAATCAACATAAAAACTGAATGACCAAAAGATGACCTTTGTAGAATCGGTATAAAATGAATCAACCAAGGAAATCTTTGAATTTCAAAGATAATCATAAGAAAAGATTTCAGCTTGCGAGAAAACCTAAGGTGTCTCATGATGTATCTTTCTATAGATGCAATGACTATGATTATCCTCTAAATGAATGAATTATTGCTTTGAGGAAATATAGAAAAAGCTATGGTTGTTATTTGGAATAATGAGACTGATGGTGATCAATCAGACTCAAATTATATTGAAGATGTTGTGGCATTTACATTGCATGATAAGGGAAGTGTGATAATTGAATATGATATGATAACATAACCATCATTGTCACTGATAAAATCATTGAAAAGTATGAAAAAATATTGAATAGCCGAAAATGTTGATTTCAAGAAATGATTACTTGAAAGGCTAAACTGAAGAATGAAACAAAAGTATAATGCATTTTTTGATGAAAATAATATTTGCAGAAGGAAAATGATGAGCTGAGCAATGAAATTATGATAACTCGAAATAATAGCATAGTTTTTGTTTGATAAAACTATGTATTTTATGAATTTTTATGTGAAAACCATCACAATATCTTATTTTTGGCATACTTTATTGATATGTTTCATTTGATATGATCCAAAGCCTGTTTGTGGAGGAGATTATTGATATTTTTAGCCTATCTAAGCGATGTTCTGGTTCAAAAATTATCTAAGTATGGAAGACCAGCGACGGTGTGCCCAGAAGGCAAACGATGCTCTTTCCGCCTGTATCGGAGCCAACAACTAGACGTCCACCGCTGATTAACAAGATCCTGAAGTACGCAATTTTGCTAAGTATTGATCTCCCAGGGTCAGCCATTCAGATATCAGTCATTGATGATAGCACCGCTTGAGTTATGCTGATGCCCACAAGCCAAGCCAAGCCAAGTCAAGCAAGGTAAGCGAGGAATATTTGTGCCCCCAGCTATATCAGTCCAACCAAGCGAGCGAG